AGTCAAGGGTCAGTGCTCAATAACTGAGTGTAAATACAGTGAGTGCAGTAGGCCTTCGTTTCAGTCATGCAGAACCAATTTCTAGTTTGATGGTATCACTGTTGCATACTTTTAATTGAAACCTCTGTGAGAAACGCTGACGTAAATCCTCATTATTATTCCGGTTTTCCCCCGTAAGATTATGGTGCTGTCTGCCTTTGTTTGATATTGCTGTGATCACCAGCACTAATATTCAAACACAGATGTATCCCCAAGTTTGGGAATTGGGATAAGAGCTACCTTTTGATGATTAAAAACCGTAGTACCAGGGAGTACCAATGTATTCATTAGCCCGTTAATCAAATGCTTCTGCTAATGCCAGTTGTTATAAAGATTTAATAGGTTTAATGTGGGGCTGTGGCACAACCCCAGCAGCCCTTAGTGCTCTTGCTGAATCTAAATATTCATCCTGGCAAATAGACCTAGTGTTTATTCCCTAGTGATTGTTTCTTCTGCTGCCCAGTAAAAGGAAGCGAACCTCTAGTGTGTGTTAAATGTGTCCTTCCAAGTTACTTTAAAGTAACAGGAACATCCCTTGAAAGTCTGGTTTTCTACCTCCCTAAAATTAGGAGCTCCCAGTAATAAGTCATCTCTTTTAATTAAGAGATTCTTTTAGCCAGTAACTCTTCTTTGTCAGTGGTTCTTGTGCAGAGACTTAGATGTTGAAAAAGATGCTGGTGTAGTTGAATTATAGGTCACAAAAAGCAAAATTACTCGTACTGTGTCTGTAAAGTTTGCTGGGACACGTGTCTGGGAAACTTTTCCTTTTGGCCCTAACCAGTACCTGACTCCCAGGACAAGGGTGAAAGTCCTAAATAGTGATTTTAGAAAATTATTGCAGCCAGAGAGAGAGGAAAAAAAAAAAAAAAAAAATTCTTTTTTTCAGCAGGGGTCAGATTTTGAAATCCATCCATGACTTTCCCTCAGCGCCACAATTGAAATGGTTACCCGAGGTTTATCTCGGTGACCTCTTCCAGCCCCCTTGATCTTAAAGGTGTCTCGGGAAGAATTTCAAGTGCAACTCTGCAATACCAGTTCCTATGCAGGGAAATGTGACCTTTTTTATCCCTCCCCCCTCTCCCCTTTTTAAAGGCTGATGCTGAAGCGGGGATGAGAGGAAAGGACACAAGCTGTTTGCTGAGTGTCCCTATTTTGAGGAAATCTTTTCTGGTCTGTGTGTTTCCAGACAGCCCCTGAGGGGCTTGGGGGAGAGATGTGTTCAGTGACCTTGTCCCAGTGAGGAGCCCAGCACACTGAACGCTGTGTTCTTTGCCCCTTGTTGGTTGGGATCGGACTAGATGGGTTAATTTTGCTTCGTGTGTCTATAAATATGAAAATAAGTCTGGCCCTTAACTGATTTATAGCTCTTTTATGGACTATTGTGATCTCAGCTCTTTAATTTGTCAGATGAGGTGAGGTACAGGCCATTCACCTTAGAGTTGGACTCCTAGTCCTTGTGGGTCCCTTCCAACTCAGAATATTCTGTGATTGTGTGAAATTAATAGCAATATTTAGCTCAAGTGATGACGGCTGTAATACTTTAATATCAAAACATCTTGCTTGCTTTTGTCCTACATGCATATCCACCTTTTTTTATATTGTCTTAAATGATTTTCCCCCCTATAACACATGTGCAATTTCAGATCTGATGCTAGAATATAAATAGTTGAGTTTTCTGTTCGCCTTTAGGTCACCTCCCTTTTTAAACCAATCTCACTGTGTCTGGTCAGGGCAGATCTCGTTATTCCCTTTGCTTTTTAATACTTATATGGTAGTTAAAGGGGATTTTTGGTCATCTTCTACTCCGTGCTCTTTACTCTGTAAATGTAATTAAAGCTATGAAAATCCACCTGTAGCACTTTACCATCCTAGTCACTTTAAATGGGTGACAATGCCTGTTGGAAAAGTAAATTCCTGGGTTTTCTGTGTACTGAGAGTGTAGTTAAATATTTGAATGTTCTCAATATTTAATCAATTAGGCTTTTCAAAGGCACACAAAAAAGCTGGCAATCCTTTTGTTTGTTTATAAGTAGTAGGCTCAGGTAGGGTGATTATATGTTGTGTCAGTAGCAGCACTAAAAGGAATGTTTGGGAAGACTATGAAATGTAAATTTGGCGAACAGCCTACCGGGAGGGAACAAAGATGGGGATTATAGGAAGGAATTTGCAAGCAAAGGCAGATTAGAGGGACTTTGTTTTTCTCATTAGTTTCTGTTCCTTCAGGAGATCAGCTACAAATCACCTGAAAAGCTCAAGAGTCCACTCTCAGGCTCTGCACACTTGAAACTGGGCTGGGTTTTCCCCCCCACTCCTCCCTCGAATACCAAAGTAATTGGAAAGAAAAGTATTTCTGCTCTGTGCATGCTGATGGGCCGTGGAGTGTTACATAAAGTGTGCAGATCCAACTTTTTAGCTGTCTTGCAATCTTGTTGTTCTTCCAGGAGGAAAACACGGCCCAAGCTCTGCCCTGGGTACTGTGTGAGCTCAGACACAATCTGGGGGAACACATGGCTCTGAAATTTGGGTAGTAAATAGTTAGGAAGATACACACTGATGGGAATTTCGTGGATGGCCTCAGTTTCTGTGGGCAGTTTTGGGCACTGCAACATAAGGAGTGTATTTAACTATTAGACAGCAGCCAAAGGAAGACTCCAAAGATGATGAAAGGTCTGGAGGGGAAGCCACACAAGGAGTGGCTGAGATCACTTGGTCTGTTCAGCCTGGAGGAGACTGAGGGAAGACCTCACAGCATCTGCATCCCCCTCCTGAGGGGAAGAGGAGGGGCAGGCACTGATCTCTTCTCTGTGGTTACCAGCGTCAGGACCCGAGGGAGCGGCCTGAGGCTGTGTCAGGGGACGTTCAAGCTGGATATTCTGAAAAAGATTCTTCCCTGAGAAGGTGATTGAGACTAGAACAGGCTCCCCAGGGTAGAGGTCACAGCACCAAGTTCTGCCAGAGTTCCAGAAGCATTTGGAAAATGCTGTGAGGCATGTGGTGTGATTATGGGGTTGTCCTATGCAGAACCAGGAACTGAACTCGATGATCCAGCTGAGGATATTCTGTGATTCTTAGTAGGAAGAATAGTGGCAGGTTGTGAATAACCTGCAGTGGTTGGGGTCTTGCTACCCCTTCTGCTTCTTTCTCCTGGTTACCCTGAGCTAGGGAACATATCTTTTGTGGTCTCTGGGTGTATACAATCTGAAACTGAACCAAACTTTACTCTTTTATCACTTTTTTTTCCCCCTACTTAGACCTTGGGCAAAGATCCCCAATGTTTGTATGCAGTACAAGGTATATTTTCTAGGAAGTGTTGTGAACAGCTTAGTTAGTGGTGCAAGGAAGGAATTTTGCTTCTGGCTCCCAGGAGCTGTAGAAATCTCCTCTTCTTGGCACAGAAAGCCCAGCAGGCCTGAAATCTCCCTTCGGGCTCAGTGTGGTTATCAGGCGAAGTCCCGCACAGATCACCGAGGAACACCCAATTACAGCACAATTTCCCTAATTCTGTCAAAAGTAATTTATCCAATGGCTTGGCCAGCAGTGTAATTACATTTTGAGATTGACATTAGGTAATCTGAGCAGACAGGTAGAACAAATTAGAGGAATAACGTGGTGGCGTGGGGTAGGCTTGCAGAGCGTCTCTTGCTGCTCCTTCATTTCTCCTCTGACTGTGTGAACGCCTCTCTGAGTTGCCCTGGACCCTTCCAGCATCATATTTTGCTTTGCACTACCCAGCTTTCATCAGGTGTCATTTGGCAAGGGCTTGTTGGGGCTCCTCAAAACATAATCTGCAGGGAGACAGGGGCAGCCAGCTTGTTACCTTGGTGATTTTTGTTGGCTTTTTTAATTTTATTTTTTTTTAAATGATGGACTTCTCTCTGGCTCCCCTGGCTCTGCACCTCGGTGCCTGATTCTGCACTGAGAGCATAATCCTTCATCACCACAGAAATTGCAATTCCTCAATTTGAGGAATTACTCCGGAGTCTGCCAGAGTGGAAAGTTCCTTCTGGAAATTGTACGTTGATAATTTTGGTGTGGATTGTGTTCTGCAATGATCCCTATTCTGATTTTTTTTTTTCCCTTTTCTTTCTTGCACCCTTATTTTAACTCTGAATGCAGTTTGTGTTGAGAAGGAATTGCTGCCCTTCTGTGCAAGGTGCACTTGTCATACCTGTCCTGTCTTATTGTACTTGGACATTTGCAAGATACTTAAGGTTTATGTTTTTTTTTTTTTTTATTAAAAAGGAGTTATTTTGTACAAAATTAGAAATTTGTGTGACACAATTAACTGGATTTTTTTGTTTCTCTGTTATCAGACTGGCACATCTTAACATACTGTAAGGGCAAATGAAGTGTCTGTTGTAAGATGTGTAGCTACTGAACTTAATATTTCAATTCTGCTTTGCATTCTCTGCTTTGCGTTTGGCAGTGTAACAGAAGAGGTCATCAGTGCATGGATCCTTGTGCTTGCAGTAAAAATAAAATCCTTTATTCAAAATGTAGAGGATTGACTCCCAAAAAACAAAACCGCCCCCCCCCCCAAAAAAAACCCAAAACAACTTGCCATGAAGATACTGGCCACTGAGAAAAAGGAGAGAATAAAAACATGCCATTAGGTATTCAAAAACATTAACCACAGTTTGCCTTAAGCATTGTCATTGTCGTTCATGTTCTCTTCTGTTGAAAAACTTTTATTTATCTAATGTGTTGACTTTATGCCTGGGAATTATAGTTTTTGTTGATGATATATATGAATTTCATGAAATCTACCAGTAATAGGCATATTTGCAGGCAACAGCCCCATGTGAGACTTCGGCGCTCCATTTAAAAATAAAAACTAAAAATCAAATAATTGCAGAATATGATAGCACAGCAATTTACATGTGGTGTAAATTTGGTTAGATGCAGTTCCTTTTACTGTTGAATCCTAACTCTGGCTCCAGGTTGTTCATAATGTGATGTTTACCTGCCTGCTGTCCCGTGGCGTGGAGTTTGTAAGAGAATGGGCTCGGGATTTAAATACTGGGCTCCTAAATACAGCAGTGCCTCTTCTCTTCGTGTGGAGATCTCTCAGAGTAAAGCAGCATTGTAGTCAAAGATCATGACCATCCCTCCAGCTCCACTGACACTGGTTTTGGGGATCTTAACATCTGTTGTCTAACTCTTCCCAATAATTTTGGCGTAGGGCCGTGCTCTGTGCTGAGCAGAAACATAGTGCGAGACACAAATAATCTGTAATTCTGAGCCCCACATCTGACTCTTGGAAGTGCTGTTAGGGGCTTGCTATGCTCTTTTTGTTGTTGTTGTTGTTGTTATTCCACTTATTCTTAAAATAAATTAACTTTGCTTCAATCCATCTGTGCTGGAAATGTCCACAAAACTTCCTCCAGCGTGGACAGAACAGCACGCTCTGCGTTTGCACCGACAGCTGGTCCTCGAAATTTGCCTTCTCATTCAGTGCTTTTGAGTTTTGAAATCAAAATACGAAGTCTGCTCCCGACAGCTGGCCGGGCATTCTCTGGTGGTAACTTTGGAATTTCTGGAGTCAATGGATGTGGCTGGATGGGGCGTGGAGGGGCTTTTAAGCGGTTCTGCTGACATTGGAGCTGCTGGTGCACAGGGGTTCACTTTAACATAATACAAAACCAGTCAGTAACTACTAGTCTTGCACTGAAAGATCATCCTGTTTGACTCACTTTTGTAGTAGGAATTGTTTGTTTTCCCAAAATACTAGCCAGGTTCTTTCAAAGGGACGGTCAGATGGTGGGGATAAAAATTGCGTCTTCAGAGACACGATTGCATAAATACATTTTTCTACTGAAGGTCAACAGATGTTTAGCTCTTCCTTAACACCAGGGTTTTTTTTTTGCAAAGACCCAACTGAAGGTGGAGAGGGAGAAATCCAGCTTGGTTTCCGAGTGGCACATGTTCACAACAACGTGAACTCCTGCAGAGAGCCCTCAAAACCAATCCTGCCAGAAGGCCAAGGAGTAATTTGTACAGAACTGAGCAGAGACTCCGCTGCTTCAAGTGATCCCAGCTGGGACCTGGGCAGAACATGTTCTGTCGTTGGACGTTGGTTCTGTGATTCAGCAAAATGCCCTGGTCCTTTTGCAAGCGCTGCAGTTCAGGGTTCCTTAAAAATAAGGGAAAGAAATTCCTCTTTTATTTGCAGCGTATCAGCATTTTATAAGACGGTGTTTTCAAAGGCTTTTATGTGTTCAGCACACTGGCAACCTTTCATGTGTTACATGGTCAGTCCCTGGTGTCTGAACCCTGTAATTAGGCATCTGTCAACCTTCTAACCATGTCATCATGTCTAGGCTGGCATTCTTTTCCATGTGTTCCAAGTATTTTATCTTTAAATCTCCCTATTCCAACTGTATAGGGCTTATTCTCATTAATTTGCAATGTAATTATTCGTAATAATAATAATAATATTCTACAATATTGTTTTGAAGCTTTTAAAAAAAGGATTTTTATAAATATCATCAGTATATCTGGTCTAATAAATCAGAGTGTGGGTAATGCCTTGGCTTTGGTTTGTTCAGTTGAAAATTGGAAGTCTGGCTCTTGGTAAGTGGTGGGAATGTTCTTATACTAGTTAGTGCCTCAGAAGAGGAAAACTATCCTTCATCCCTGGATTTAATGATGGTTCACCTTCTATTGGGGTGGCTGTTCCAGTCTTGTTAATCATGCCAAGCTTCTCTGATTTATGTTTAGTGTAACACTTTCTTGGTGTAAGGCTTGTTATCTGTTCAAAAACACTGTGGTCCAAGGGTGGGTACAAAATTACTGGATGGATTTGAATGACTTACCCTTATTTTGCTACTGCTCAAAAATCTGGTCCAGCAGTGCTTCTCTCCAGAACGGTGTGGGATACGGTTTATTTTATTTTTAAAATTGTGTGAAACTTGATGACAAAATGAAACTCAGTAGTAAGTTTTAAAATCCAGTTCAATTCTCAACCAGTGTCACTGTCAAATTCTTGTAATGGCATCTGATTGATTCTGGTAGAAGTGGAATAAAAATGACAGGGTGATGTGCTCTGCTGGATGGACAGGTGTATTTACAGTCGAGCATCTATTTCAATACAGGGATGAAATCTGGGGAACTGGTTGGTTTCCGTGTTGCTCTGTGTCTAAATTTGGTGTTTTTCTTACACTTGAGCAAAGAAGAGAGTAAAATATTTTTCCCGTTTGTTGCTTTGGTACACAGATACTGTTAAAACTAATTGGCTTTATTGTTTGAATACCAGATCTATGCAAAGAAACAATGTTCTAATGTGCATAACCCTGCTGGATTCAAGGCATCAAAGGAAACAGCATCCTGCCTGGTTCCTTGGTACACTGCCCTGCTTTTTGCTCTGGCAGACTCAGCTTTATTTTCTCTGCAACAGCTTTTTGGGCTAATGTGGGTAAAGAGCTGGTGAAACGTGATGGAGCATCAGGCCCAGATCTGAACATGGTGGCAGCTGCCAGAGGGTCACTCTGAGTCCCCGTGGCCTGGGCTGAGACACATGGTGAGGTGATTTTTCTCAGGGGAAAATAAGTCCCAGGGACTTATCCTGTAGAGGTATTAACTCAGCACAAGGAATTGACCTCTTGCTCTTTAGAAGGAATATCAGGTCTCTGGGTAATAGTGCTGTTTGCTTCCACTAACAAGGAGCTTGGTTTAAAGTCTTCTCACTTGGTGTTCCCATGTGGACCTACATCAAGGAGCCTTCCTTGAGAAAACTACCGAGCTAAAATGGAAATAGTATGTGCTGGGGAGTGGTGGTGGGAATAGCAGGGCTGTAAAGATATTCATAATGGCCTGTGTTTAAATAACACGCTGCAGCATCTTTGGACAGATGCATATTGTGGGTAATAAAGCAAACACATGAGGTTAACTGCTGGAGGTGGAGGTTATATGCCAACGAAGCAAACCCTTCAGTCCTTCCTGTAACTTATTTGCATGGCACAGCCTGACGGATGCAATCCTGCTGCGTCGCTGCCCTCGGGTGCAGAGGTTCATCTTTGAGGTTTAAAGGGAAGAAAAGTGTTCCTGCAACCGTGTGGTCCCTCTCAGGGGGCAACAGGTGATTGTGGTAGAGCCCTAGTGGGGGAAGCCTTCCTCTGCTATGTGGCTGCCCCATCCCTGAAAGTGTCCAAGGCTAGGCTGGATGGGACTTAAAACAATCTGGTCTACCTGAAGGTGTCCTTGCCCTTGGAAGGGGGGTTGGAACAAGATGATCTTTAAGGTCCCTTCCAACCCAAATCATCCCACGATGGCAGGTACTATTCTGACGGCCATGTACTTTTACAGCACGCTGTTGTTTTGGAGTAATTTGTCTGAAGTACTTAATAGCTTGCTTCAACAAATGTGTTATTCTGCACTTGTGTTCTGCTCCAATTTTTCCACTTCTCCCTAATCTCCCACTCCCCTCGTTCTCTCGCTTTAATGTAGCCTTATTATAGTTGCATACATTTATAAACATCCAGTAACAGACACGAAATAGATACTCTTGAATATTTCCTAGCACACTATATGATTAATTCCCACCCTTTATCGTAGGGATAGCAAATAGATGGTAAATAATGGCTTGTTGATGGCACACTCTTGTGTGCACGTTTGCAGGGAGACACAGTGCAGACATCCAGACTTGTACAGGTGCTCATGCTCCAGACAGGAACAACCGCTTTAATTGCTCACTCCCCTTCATTCATCTTCCTTAAGATACTGAATCAAAATCCCGTTCCTCTGCTAATCTCCCTACACATCATCTATTAGATGTTGTAACGGCTCCATAACTTCTACCAGAACCAAGAGATCGTCAGACGCTTGTAATCAAAGCGCTGTTTCATTCCATTTGGCTGCACAGCCACGGAGCTCTGAGCAGGTTATTGGGAGGCAAACGGGGAGCAGCAAGAAAACCCGCTGAAAATGCACCAAGTTCAGCAGAACTACACCTTAATCCAGAGCTGTGAGGGGTGAAATGCACCTCTCAGTGAATAATCTGCAGTCCCGTTACGGCTGAGCCGTGAACTGAATGGTTGATGACGTACAGGCCAGATTATTCCGTTTACTTTTTGTGCCATATATCCAAAAGTTGACACTTAATTATGTTGTCCCACAGTAGATCAAATTTTACAACAACCACAAAAGATTAAAATGGTTTTATACCGGGCACATTCAGAGGATAAACAGCGCTGTGTTATAGGAGGGAACGGCAGTCAGCTGTGTTTGCCATCTGGGAGAGGAGCACTGGAGAGCTATTAATATGTAAACCTTTTAGATTTTTTTTTTTTATTTTTTTTTTTTTTTAGAATCGGTAGCATTCCTAAAGAACTGGTGGAACCTCTGTAGTAAATTTTGATGTCGAAGGATGCTGCAAATAGTATTACAGCAACAATTAACACAGGCAGAACTATAATCTCATCTGCTTTTAAGGTTTCTTCTTCAGACACTAGAGCAGAGAGAGTAAAAAGATCAGATCAGGTTGCCTGTAGGGCAGTAAATCCACTGTGTTGCATAAACACTCCACTTGACACAGAAGAGGACAGTGCAGACTCTCCTTCTATCTCAGCAGAGCTTATCCATATTTATTTCAGCTAATCTTTTGATTCAGTGTGGTAATCACTTAAATATCCTAATTGGCTAATTTTATTATTGCTTTCACTGCTAATGTGCTAATTGTTTTATTTCTGGGAAAGTTGTTAAAAATGCTACTCGATATTGATTTATTTATCTTCTGCTCCATTTATTTTTATTACAATATGGCTTGATTTAATTCTGTGTTTCAGGAAATCATTATCATGCATAAGCATATTAGTGAAGAAGGGTAGGGGCAGAATAAAAAATGGGAGAGGTGCCATTATACAGGAGAGAGATAAACACAAGGTAGAAGATTTGTGTTTAAATGAATTTGTTGTGTGGTCAGGACATGTCTGGCTGCACCTCATTCATCTAGTTTCCCCTGCAACAAAACACAAA